CTGATGCCCCTGGAGTCCCCCCATCCCCACCTCCTGCCTGCTTTCTGCATTGTCTCCCAGGAGCAACACTAAGCCTTCCGAAGGGATTCCTGGCCAGGCCTGCGGAACCCCGTGAGGGCCTCTGGGCCTGGCAGACTCACCTGGAAGGGTCCGCTTGGGTTGATAGGCACATGGGCTTGCTGCCATGCGTTGCCCTTATTGCCACTGAGGGACCAAGCGTGGGTGTCCAGGGCCCCTTTGCTCCGAGACCGCACCAGGAGGTTGAGGGAGCCTGTGGTGGATGTGAAGAGAGGGGGCCAGTGAGGTGTGGACAGGGCACCAAGCCCTCCTCACTGCCCACAGCACAGTCTCTGTTAGACGGGACCCTCTTCCCATCACGCACTGGTTCACTGTCCCATCCTCCCAGGGAGGAGGGGGAGGGCAGTTAACTCAGGAAAGAGAGACAGCAGCAAGGCTTCAGTTCATCAGGATAATTTGAAAATTTTCTCTCATTTCTTCCCTTCCTTCCCGATCAGCTAATCTCCCACCCCTGAAACACACACACACACACACACACACACACACACACACACTCACACACCACCCTCCGCCCTCTAGACAGGGAGCCTGTCCCAGGGTGATGGGCCCACGTCTGCGCATACAATGGGATTCCAAAACACGCAACGCATACCCATGATACGTGGGATGATGTCTGGAGGAACAGCAAGGGACTAAAATTTTTAATACTTACATGTATGTTTTAAGAGGTGAATAAAGCAAGCCCTTCAAACCCAGGATTTCTCTAATCTTAATTCTTAGGACAAAGCTAAGAAAAAGGGAATGAGTTGATTTAAAGAAAGATTAGTGTTATGTGCCTCATAGCTGTGGTAAAAAGAATGAAAGCAAAGTTTTGGAGGCACCAGTCTGTGGGTGCTGAGCCCATCTGCCTACAGCCACAGGGCCAGGAGTTCTGGAAGTGCTGAGGGACACTGGAAGGTGCTGAGGGACACTGGAAGGGTGGGGTCATGGTTTTGCTGAGAGCACCCAGGCAATGTCATGTCCCCTCCCCAGCTCTTCCAGGCTCCCTTGAGCCCCCAGTGTCAAAAAAGACCTGGCTCGGAGGGGAGAGGAATGGACTTAGACAATGCCTGGTGGTTGGCATTTCCATAGTGCTGCCCACAGACAAAGCCACACCATCTGTGACACCAGATAGAAAGACCCCCTATGGGGGACAGCCACCAAATGTTACCTGCCTGAGATGAAAGGAGTTGGCTCGGACCAAAAAGAGTCTGCAAAACACGAAGTCTGGGGACAGCTGGTGCCCAGAGCTGCCAGGTAGGGTAGGAGGGGAGGGGAGAAGAGGGACCAGGACAGCGAGAAATGCCCCCTTCCCCAGCAGCAGATCCAGGCCTGGGTAGGGGACCCTCACCAGCAGATGGGGCCATGAGAGGGCTGCCACCAGCCCTCATGGGCCAGGAGATGCCACACTGACTTCAGCAGGGCTCAAGCCCCACTGCCTTCTGGGATCCCCACCAGCCCAAAGGGACCTCTTTCCCTTCCCCTTCCTAGAATCTTCCTGTTTCTTCCCCCACCCCCCTGGGGTCCAGCCTCATTCATACATTTTTTTCTTCCTGTATCACACTGCCCCAAGGACAACAATGGGGAACCCCACCTTTTCACTGTTCAAACATAAATTGAATTTTTGCCCCCTTCCCTGAGCACCCCAGCTCTAAGATCTCCCTGCTCAGGTTTCCTGATAGCCTTTCACAGGGTCGGCCAGGGCCCAAGACCTTCACTCTCCCTAAGGGTGGGCCTGCTCACTGCAGTCTTCCCTGTGTTCCTTAGCACCTCCAAAGCCAAATGGAACTGCACGCTGGAGCCCAGACATACTCCAGCTTTTCAGCCTCCAGGCTTTTGCCTAGGCTGTTCCCACTTCTTGAGATGCCTTTCCCTACCACATTCCCCTAGCCAAATCTTTCCTGTGCTTCAAGGTCTCTCTGAAATGTCACCTCCTCCAAGAAGACTTCCTGGGCTTGAGCTGGGAGTTCTCTATGCTTCCTGGGAACTCAGTCCTTAAACTGCAGCTCCCCAGGCCCAGTCCGCTCTCTGCTCAGGGGTGTGGCAGTTACTGGGATTCCCATCTTCTCTTTTTATGACTCCTTGAGGGAAAGTCTGCATCAAATTGCTATTGGTTCTCAATAATTAAATGCTGAATGAGGAATTTTCCCCAACTGTCATCAGGAGTTAAAGAGGAGTTTCATGGGACCTCAGGATTAGAAATTACCTTGGAGTTTATGAAGTTCAGGCCTCCTATTATTCATTCATTCATTCATTCATTCACTCACTCACTCACTCACTCACTCACTCACTCACTCATTCAACTAATTGAGCACCACGATGTACCAGGCACCAGAGACACATCTGCGAATAAGACAAGGACCCTGCCCTCCTGGAGCTTGTGCTCCCTTGGTGGTAAGCCTTAGAAAATAAGCATTAGAAAGAATATAATTCAGGGGAGGGAATGAAGACATTTCAGATGGGGCTGTCAGGGAGCTCTCTGAGGAGACCTGAATGAGGGGAGGGGAAGAATGTTCAGGCCAGAGGAACATCATGAGCGAAGGCTTCTAAGGCAGCAACCTGCCTCAAGTATTTAAGAAAAGCAAGGAGACCTGTGTGCTCGGGCTAAGTGGTAGCCAGAGGGAGAGTCACAGAAAATGGGGTCCAAGAAGCAGGCAGGGTGCAATCAGGTATGCGAAGCCTGAGAAGATGGTGACGAAAGGGGACAGAGCTGGGGGGCAGCATGACATGGACGGGGTCTCCTCCGCAGCATCCCTGCCAAACAGTCCTCCTGTCCAGGGATGGGACAGCCCACTCTTGCTGGGCACACCTGATGCTTACACACAAGCTCTGGAGCCCAGACTGCTCCCAGACACCCCAGCAACCCAGCTCACAAGGCCTGATTTCCCGGAGCCCTACCGGCCCCAGGATGCTCCTCTTGGCAGCTGGGTCCCCAGTGCCCCTCCTGAGTTGGAAATAAAGTGACCAACTCTCCGAGTTTGCCTATGATGTGAGGCTTTCAGTGTAAAATTGGGAAGGGCTGGAACAAAGCAGAGTTGGTTTGCATTGCTCACTCGAGCTGGGAAGCCGATGGAAACCAGAGGGCGGGCAGAGCAGGTGGTCCTGGTCACCCACCCCACCTACCCCAGAGGAAGCTTCTCACAGTGTCCAGACCCAGCCATGGGCAAACTGGTCTGTGTGGATGGTCTGGGGCCCCCGGGGTATGAGAGCCTTCCACCCCACCCCATGCCAGCTCATTGGTTCAGCTTGACCCATCATGTGAGCTGCGGAGACATCTCCAAAACGAGCCTTTAGGTCTACACTTGCTTAAAGTCGCTTCCTTTACTGTGCAGCCTTGGTGGACAATTAAGTATTCTGTGGCCTGAGGGAGGGGGGACAATACATGTGTACTGCTTTTATATACATAAAGTATTTCTGGAAACTTCCCCCCAAATCTAGTCAATGATTGCCTCTGGGATGGGGCTACAGATGGCAGAAGGACTGGGATGGGGGGACCCTCATCATGTACCCGTTTGTGCCCTTGCAGGATACATTACCTTTCCCATAAATAAGTAAACAAGCAAATACACATTTTAAAAACTGTCAATTCCTCAGCAGAGTCTTCTATAACCAGACCCCGGAATTGGTCCCTATCGCAGCTTGGCCCCTGTCCTTCTGCTGCAGACACGTGTCACAGTGGCCACTAAATCTCATCTGGCACAATTAGTTGTCTGTGTCTGTCTCTCTCACTTGACTATGGTGCCGAGAGCACGGGGAGCCTGTCCGTGCGGTTCTGCAGCACCTGAGCTGGGCACAGAGCAGGCAGCTCTGGGAAGGCTGCACTGATGAGCTCATTGGCTCATGCGACGCTCCCACCAATGCCACCTCTTTCCAAAGGGTGTTCCTCAGGTTCAAGCCCACACTCAGGAAGCAGGACTTCTCACTGCCCACAAGGCAGCACCCTTTCAACCCTGTTTAGGGTTTGAGGGAGTCAGACAGGCTGGGGTTGCTGTGTGGTACTGAACGGATGCTTAACCTCGCTGAACACCTCCCTCACCTTGTGATTATGAGGGGTAATGAGACTACAGATGCAGAGCACCCAGGATGTCACCTGGCACCTGGTAAACACTCAGTACATTCCACCTCTTAGCTGTTTCCTCCATCCCCTCTAAGACCCCATCTCAACCTGCTGGCATCCCCTCCCCCCTGATCAGAAGCCCTGATCATCTCAAAACCTCACACAAGCTGGCTCTGGACCTCCCCCTTTGTGCAGATTCTGCCCACACTCCCTCCAAGCATCTCTGATTCAGCCAAGTTGGGAAATCCAGGCCGCATGTGGGCAGTTCCCCAGCCTCCTGTGGACCCCTCTGCGCCCCCTGGCCCCAACACGCACTGGGCAGACTACCTGGTGCCCCGACTCACCGATGTGCTTCCCGTACATGTGGTAGAAGAAGGACACGCAGTAGAACTTGGCGCTGGCGTTGTACAGGGGACTCACCAACCGCGCACGGTCCCCCAGTTCCCGGGGCCTTGAAGTCTCAATGAACATGTAGTAGCCTGTGGGGGAGGGGAAGGTGTGCCAACAGCCTCCGCTTCACCCCACCCAGCCCTCTTGCCACCCGGTTCCTTCTCTGCCATAGTCTCGGCTGTATGAATACCAGGGGCCTCTCCCCATCGCACCCCGTCCTCCCTGTCTCACAGCACGGGCTCTGGGCCAGCCCTCCTGAGTTCCCAGCTCTGCTGAAGCTTCTCTTCTTCCTGATCCTCTGTTCAGACAGGGCTATGTCTGCCCTCAGATTGGGGCTCTCTGAGGACAGGGCTGTGTCTCCCCTCAGACTGGGGCTCTCTGAGGACAGGGCTGTGTCTCCCCTCAGACTGGGGCTCCCTGAGGACAGGGCTGTGTCTCCCCTCAGATTGGGGTTTCCTGAGGACAGGGCTGTGTCTCCCCTCAGACTGGGGCTCTCTGAGGACAGGGCCGTGTCTCCCCTCAGACTGGGGCTCCCTGAGGCTAGACCCCTGACGCAGTCCTCTATTCCTAGCAATAGGCCATGTCCTCACCCTCAGGGGTGCCGCTGATGTCAGTGGGGGGGCCAGTGTTGGGAGAACGCTTGGGGTTCTGGGTTAGGGCGTTCTGCCGTGTCCAGTCAAAGTTGTCTGTCAGGTCTTGGGTGTAGCCACAGATCTTCTCATCCTCAAAGTGGCAGGTGTTGTCTGCATTGGGGTGGGGAGTGGGGGTGAGACAAAGAGGGTCAGCCTCCTGAGGTCCTCCGGTCCAGCGTTGCCCTCCCTGCCACCCGGGGCAGTTCCCAGGCAGTGGGCCCAGGATTCCAAGGCTTGAGAAACCAGGCAACAGGGCCCCTGGCTAATCTGCTCCCAGAACAGGACTTAACCTTTTTGTGCCACCGCAGACCCTTCTGGCAACTAGTGGACTCTAAGGGCCCCATCTAAGAATAATGATTTTAGAGGCATAAAATGAAATACAAAGGATTGCGCAGAAAATCAGTTATACTGAGAGTTGTCAAATACTTTTAAACAGATTTGTGTTACAATAAGTGGGCTTCCTTATTATCTAATTAAGTCAGAAGATCTAGTGTTAGGTCTAATAACTGCCACAGTTTTGAAATACTAATGAACGTAAATGATACTCAGAGAGAGCTGCAGCAACTTTAAGGTGATGTAAAAACATCAGAGTTCTGATGACAAAGCCCCAGGTACTGATTATACTACTGCGGTTGGTCACCTAAATTCATCATTGAAGGAGGTGTTATGTTTCTGCTAGAAGCTGGGGAACATAAAGAAGCATATGCCCTTCCAGGTTGCAGACTCACAGACCCCTAAATTCTGTACACAGACCCTTTAGGGGTCCATAGACCTCAGACTAAGGACACCTGCCCCAGAGAACAGGGGATATGGATTAGCCTGGACTTTCTTTGGGGACAGTGAGTGGTGCTGAGTGAGGAGGAAAGGCTCTGAGTTTGAGATGTCCCCCAACTCCACCCCAGTCCCCAACCTTTCAGGCCCAAAATAAATCCTGGACACAAACATGTCCAACCCCAGCCCTGCTCCCTTCTGCTTCTCCTTCCAGCCGTTGGCCTCCATCCCATTTTCTCTTTGAGTATCTCTTTGGGTCCCTTCCTCCCACCAGGGGTACTTTTTTGTCCCCAAGAAGAAAAGTAGGTGGGAATATCTCACCTGACAGATTGGGAGAGTTGATAGCTGAGAAAGCAAGCAAGATAACCAAGTCAGAATTGAGCGGAGCTGTGCAGAGAGTGCCTGGGCTTAGGACCAGGGGCAAGGTCCCCAGAAGCAGGACTGGGAGCCAGAGGGGCCTGGCCTGCAGTGACAGAGCAGGACACTGCACAGTGGGGAGTTCCAAGCTCAGGAACCATATGGGGAGGGTGGAGGGGATCCCCTGGACATAAGATGGGACCACCCTTCCCATCACCAACACCACCTCCACCACCACCTACGCTCTGTGTAGTGGATGATACGAGATGCCATGTCCCCGGCCCCAAAGGTGGTGTAGGGCGTGAGCCGGATCTCGTAGCTGTGAGGCACGCGGAGGTCGGTCAGGATGTACTCCAGCAGCTGCCCCTTCTCCACACGCCGCACTGGGATGGCCTTCACCATGGCGCTGTGCTGATTCAACTACGGATATAGGGAGTTCCCAGGGGCTAGGCAGGCCATGGCTTCCACCAGAGCACCAGCCCGGGCCCTGGTATGACTTTGGGGGACAGCATCAAGGAGCAGAAAGAGCAAAGGACTAGGAAGCCAGGGCCTCGGTTCCCTCACTTGTGGGACACAGCACTCACCCCTTCCGTACCTCCCAGGCTGTCTCAATAATAAATGACAGCAACATATATTGAACACTTAATGTGTGCTAGGCACTAAATGCTTTGCAATTATTAACTCACTTAATCCTCAAAATAATGATCCTATGAGGGAGAATATTGTAATTTTACCTTCATTTTTATAGATGAAGAAACTGAGGTAATATAGATGTAACTCACCTATGTTCATATAGAGCTGGGTTCTAGCTTAGGCAGCCTTCCCCAGAGTCACACTTTTACCCTCCATCAAACTGCCCAGTGGGCTAGGCAGAACCACGTGGAATTAGCACAGAAAACCAGCACAGTGGCTTTGGCCTTGCATTCTAGAGACTCTGTGGGTGAAACTTGAGCTCATGCCTCAAGTTTCTGCTGTAAGCTTCTGATATAAGAGTAAATTCTGTGTTTCATCAGCAGAACTGGCTCTGCCCACTTCCCCCTCCATTGACCCCTGCCCAGTTCTCAGGGCTGTGCCCAGAGCATGGGTCCAGAGAGGTCAGGTCTCTAGCACCTCCCAGCTCCTGCTGCTGTGTCCAGAACACTTCCTCTCTGGCACTGAAGAGTTGTTTATAACAAAGGCCAGTGTGTTCCAGCCCCATCTCCAACCCCTTTCCCAGGCTCCATGAGCAATTCAGAGCCAGCTGACACCAGGGCCCCTGTCCCCCTTGGCCCACCTGGCGGACACTGAGTCTGTAGTTGAGCACGGGGTCAACAGCGTCAGGTTCCCTCTGGGTCCACTGCAGCACGTAGGAGTAGTTCTTGGACAGCTTGTGGCTGCGGGTGGGGTTGGGGGTGTCGAAGTAAAACTCCGGGCTGTAGGCTTTGGCTAAGAGGGCAGGGAGGGGGCATGGGGCCATGGAGGGTAGGGGATGGGGAGAGACACAGAGAGAGGAAGCATGGGAGAGGGAGACAGAGAGGACAGGGTGGAACAGAGATGAGATGGTGGCGACAAAGAGAAGGGAATATTGTGAGGAGAGGAGGGGTGGGGGAGAAGAAGGGTTTGGGAAAGATGAGGGTCAGGGAGGAGGGAAGGTGGGAGATGGGGAAAAGGGAGGTTGAGAATTCCAAGAGATGGTGTTGGTGAGAATGGAGCAGAAAGGCAAAGGTAGAGACAGAGCAGTGATATGAGAGAAGACACAAGAAAGAGGATTAGGGGGAAGACAGGAAGAGAAGGGCCAAAGAATTGAGGTAGAAGAAGAGAAGACATAGGAGAGAGATCGAGGCAAAACGGAGGGGAGACAGGGAAAGACAGGGGAGAGGGGGAGGAGGTGGGAAATGTCACAGGGGCCTCTGGCTGGTAGGGATGGGGAGGTGGCCAGTGACCTGCGGTGCTAGCCTTCTGTTAGTGAATGAGGGGATCCAAACAAGAGCTAAAGGGGCACCCAGTCAGTCTGGAGCTGCTGGGAGAGCTGGGAGGGTGGTGGAAAGGGGGACGGGCATGCTTGGGGTTCTTGTAGGGGCACTGCCACCAGTGGAGGAAGAGAGGCAGGGTGGGCAAACCCATCAGCCCCTCTCGGTTGCCCTCGCCCCTCACCACGACCTCCACCGCTTTCTGACCCACCCACTCCTTCTGCAGCCCCACCAGCCCACCCAGGAATGAAGATGGGCAGATGGGGCTGAGAGGGATTTCGGGGCACCGAGGGGCCTGAAACTCTAGGGTGATAGACATCTCAGGAAATGTGTGCGGGCTGGCCCAGCACCGCCCATGAGATTCTAGAGACACTGTTGCGGGGCGACTTCCCTCCCTCAGCCCCTCACACTGGGCCTGCGGTCGGGAAAAGAGTAGGTTCCCCATGGGGTCTCCGGAGCAGTGGGCGCAGGAGGTGGGACTTGAAGCTAGATGCCTGAGACGCGCGGAGCCCAAGGCTTGAGTGGGCGGGTCTAACCCGGGTGTGGGCGGGGCTGGAGGCGCTTCTACAGAAACAGCTGGAAGCGGAGAGCTGAGATTGGACAGGGTTGGAGGGGCGGAGTCTATGCCTTATGTGGGCGGAGCCTAAGACAGGGCCCGACCTGGGGCCCCGCGGTAGGGGCGGAGGGTGGGCGTGGTCAAGGAGGGCCTGAAAGAGGCGGGGCTGTCAGAGTCCAATGGAAGGGAGCGGAGCGAAAGTAGGCGGGGCTTATAACAGGTATAGGCGGGCGGGGAAAGGGAAGGCCTGGAGCAGGCGTGGGGGGGACAGGTGGGCGGGACAGGTGGGCGG